ATTAGAAATTGGATAACAAAACAAAATCAGGAAAATCAAGAATTGAGAAATTGGATACAAAAGAAAGAAATAGAAGAAATTTGAGAATTAGCATCAAAAACTATCAATAAACAAATAATAAAAAGAGAAAGACAAAATCTTTCAATCATTGGAAATGCTCTCAAAAATGCCAAAAGAATATTGAAAAATAAAGAACAACCTGATGAAGAAGAAAATTGGAAAAATAAAGGATCCGATATGCGAAAATCGAAAATATACAAAGAAGACACCTTCGGAAATACTGAATTGCAATCGTTTAGATTGAAAAATTTAATTAACTTCTCAACAGATGAGGAATATAATAAAAACACACAAAAAATCGTATCAAATGAAGATTTTAATATACAGAGACCAAAAATACATAAAGAATATATTTATCAATCAAAATTTAAAGAAGGAATAGACCAAACAATCTTAAACATACTTAAAAGAAATAATAGACCGCAAGATTATAAATATTTCTTAACATCAAAAATAGCTCAAACGACTATTAACAATGGATATAATTATTTTGACGAAATCTTAAAAAAGAAATCCATACAGGCTATTTTAGTAGCGGCAACTGGAGCTATAGGAGTAGACAAAACCTATGAACTATTTCAACTAAAGCAGTTCCTTATTGGCTATAAACAACATGTGATCCTATACAAAGAAATTACTTTACAATATAAACCCTTACTAAAAATATTCTATGAAGACCCAGAGAAATATGCATTTGCTTTACAAATTGCAATCCTACAAGAATGGGCAACTAAATATCAGTAAATACTCCTATTGGAATTACAAGGAGATATAACACCAACTACGTATATTCTATGCGATCGAGCATACTTAGACACTAAAGTATTTACAGAAGAAAACATTAATCGAAAAGAAGAAATAGAAATCTTAGATGATATGTGTAAACAAGTTATATTAAAATATTCAAGAAATATGAATATCAACTATTCTTCAACCCAGGAGAAGAAGAAATGCTTAAAAGATTTGTACAAAGAAGAGATCAAGATGGAAATAAAGATACTAATAAACAGATTCCAAAAGAATATCTTATCAAAATCTATAAATGATACAAGCGAATGATACCAACGTTATACCCGGAATATATTACTCTCAGAAATAATATACAAGACCTTAGTCATATGTTTAGAACACTATTTATACAAGAACTAAAATATTGAGAAGATAGAATAGAAGAACTCCATATAGACCACCCAGAAGATATAATAGGAATAACCTAAAACAGTACACAGTAACCATACTATTCACCCTAATGGATCAAAAATTTAAAATATTATCTACTACAAGATTAGATGTAACGATATATCCATACCAAATGGAAACACTTGGAGGAGGAGTAGAAACCCACGATAAAACTATTAAAAAATCAGCGATAAAAGAATTTATTGAAGAAACAGGATATCAACCTAAAGAAAAAAGAATACAATTAATTCTTAATCATCGATACCTCTCAATAAATAAAAATAGAACTAAACCAGCAATAAGAAAAATACATTTCATCTCAGATGTAACAAAGTATATAGAAATAGTAACTTTTCTATATTATGTTAAACCAGAAGAATATAATCTATTCACAAATGCTGAAGAAAATAAAGCTGAACCAAGGGAATGGATGACTTACGAAGAATGTAAACACCAATTATTTACACCAACTCTACATTATTATAAAGACGAAATCTTTACCAAATATATACCCAGATACTACAATAAATATTTTCGGAAAGGCAACGTAACTGAGATGATTAACACTACAAGTACCTTATCCGGAATACCCGGTACAGATTGAAATCAGAATCACTGCATAGGGCTCTAACAGCGCCTCTGACGTACAGGCAGACACAACCGGCACATTTTCCTATCACGTCTGTAACACATAGGTGCAACACACCTATACAAAATGCGATTTACCAAAATCGGCAACCTCATACCAGAATGGCGACTACTATAATTAGCAATAATTAGCAATCATAGAATAGCATCTTTTTATCTTATTTGTGGTATCAACTTAGTCATAATATTTATCAACTTATAGATAGCATTATAAATATAGTTTAAAAATAGCGTTACAATAGCTTTATATTTAATAGAATAGCCTTCTTGAATGTACAAAAGCACTAGCTTTTCATCTTTGAAACATTAGCGAAATTTCCTTAGAATTTAGCTCAGAAATTTCAATATCCTTATAGCCTACACGGCATAACCCTATCCACTCTACAATCTTATTGCACCCAACATGGCCAATATATCAATAATAGGAATATACATACACCTAACTACCAAATGTATCATTAACTTGAAACACATTTGAGACCGTGCCAAGCATATTATTCTTGTTATATAATATTATTATATTATGCCGTTGGCAATCACTACAATATATCCAAGGCATAAAAGAACAATCAAAGGTGCAACACATATTATAAATACCTTTAGCGCCCAACATATTAAACAACAATGTTAACCGTTGGCGGCTCAAGTGTCAAAAAACACAACAATGAGCCCAACGTGACCATTCAACTATAATAATAGTCATTGAAGACCAACACATTAACATATATATAAAGAACAATCATAGCGACCCAAGTATAACAATACTTAATAAAGGCACCCAACACACTTATAAAACATTGCCCTTATAATTAGTAAATATTATTTAAACACCTTCATGTAATAGTCAAACATTAAAATTAAATAAATAATAAACTGATCTTTAAAAAGTTTAAAAAAAAAAAAAGAGATAATTGTGCAATATAATAATCCTTCTATAACATAAATTCCTTCGACATAAATAAACCCTACATATTAAAGATAAATCCCATAACGAATAAAACTAAAAAACTGTATAACATATTGAGCCTGCAAGATGGCAATAGATATAACAAATAATACCTCAGAGAACTTATCCAACTCTGTAAACTAAAGTAGACTTAGCCAACCTACGACATAGAGCAAGATATACCATTCCGCTTGCTATACAACATAATAAATATGTAATAAAAAGAAATAATCAAGACGCCCAACAAACACTAGAAAGTGTTAGAAATTAGCAACAAACAACAACCAATTGGAAAAATAAATATCTACCGATTGAAACCCAGAAATAAATCGTACCTTACCATAGCGCCCAACTAAAAAGGAAAAGCTTACATACTAAATACCTGCCATTGGCAAAGAAAGATTAAAGGTAAAATACAAAATACTAACATACTAATTAAATTAACTATACTATACTATTAGGGCAAAAGTAAAATTCATAGATCAGACAGAGTTTAAACAACTCTTGTTAAACCTGAACGGATAACACTATAGTGAAGATAACTTCAAATCTACCAGATAGATACGAATAATCGAATCTGACGACAAAGTGAAACATAAGGAAATTACCTTACTAGCTAAAACTATAGGAATAGCTACTCTAAAAGACAACCACATTGTAACCACCAGACACTGCAAGCCTGAACTATTGACGCTAGTGATAACAACAATAAATAATTACAAATCAAAGATTACAAAGCATAAACAAAACTCAATAAAAACAACAATACTCCAAACAACTATTTTACTATTAATAACTCTCATACAAATCCTTAAAGCACAAGTAATCAATGTAACAATACCTGTAGTAACAGTAACGCCCACTGCAATGCCCTCAACAATAACTGTAACAAACTCTGCAACAATAACTGCTTAGCCCAACACAAATTATTTCACGGACAAAGAAGCTATAAATACACTAATTGTATTAATAATCACAATTCTAACTGCCTTAAGAACAGTAACCACATTTGTCTGCACCTGTAAACAAAGATTAGCCAAAAAGACTCAACAAGTAAATCGTCTGAATAATCAAATTACACAACCCCCTGGATATCAACAAACAAACTTATACGCGTAAAAATAGCTCATAGAAAGTATAAATAGAACTGCTTAATCAAAAACAAAAAATTCTTATACACCAAATAATTAAATACCAAAAAAGGCAATACGATACTTACAATAGATATTTACTAAACAAGGAATAATTATATCTACAATAACTCTTATACTCACAATAGAATTAACAATCTTAAGTAATCAAAACACCTGAAGAAACACAAATCACAATATCCCTTACTATATTAATAACAACGTGTATATCTGAAATAGCACTGATAACATACACTGCAATCAAAAAGGAACCAACTATTAATAGCTTTTATACACAAAACAACCCATGATCATAGATATTATACTGATACTCAGTACAACAATACTATTATTAACAATATTAATAACAACAATAACATTAGCCATAATCCACAATCATAAACTATATCAAACATTACTAATCCTGAAAAGAAATAGATGACTAATAACCAAACAGATAACATTCAACAATACGTGTACAACTATTGACAACAATCCAATTGCAACATAATTACTTTATGGTATAATCATTGAATCATTGATAACAATAATATTAATAACAATTTTATATTGTTGCTGTAAATACCAACGCTATAAAAAGTGAATGAACAAGACCATCCCTGGAGCAAATCAATACCTCGAACAATCTGACATATCAATCTGTTGTTAAACAAAATAAATAATTAATTAAATAATCTAACTTTATATGTCAAACAATAACTATTAAAGACCACCACTAAGACCAATTGCACCCTTTAACTATCATCACGAGATACCAAGAGTGATCACACCAAAAGTACTAACAGTACCTCAACAAAAACCAGTGATACCTTACGTACAATATCAAAAGCCAAATATACTAAGACCATTACAACAAATACCGATTGATAATCAACTACAACAATAGTTAAACAACCAATTCGGAATAACACCAAGACCTGTTATACCATATAACACAGCTCCACCAAGAATACCAAGGAAACCTAAAGGATTACAACTTCTCAAAAAGAAATAACCTCCAAATATTTCGCAATTTAATGTCAAACAACAATAATAATAATCAAAATACACTCTTAGAAATATTTGGTGGAATAACTACAATACTAGTAATACTAGGAGCAACAGTATTAATATTCATAATTGCAAAACTTAAACAGCTTAAGAAAAAGAAACAACAAGCAAGTAACCAAAACCTACCTCAATATACCCAAAAGGAGCGACACAAAGAACTATACCAAACATATCAAATATTAACCAAACATTTGGAACAAGATACTGATACATGTCAATAATACAAATATCAATACACCATCAATTGTACTTAGCACAATAATCAGTACCATAACTGCAACATTTACACCAACATCAACACCATCTACACAAACACCAGAATACCTACAAGATACAAACGTAATTAACACATTTATAGGAGAAGTAATATTCATAATTGTAGTAACAATAACTACAGCTATACTAATCTGTAGAAACAGAAGCCATCAGAACGAACTAAAAGTTCTTAAACAAGATTTTGAAAATCAAAGAATAATAAATAACATTTACGCATTACAAGAACAAAGTGGATAATCAACAAGAAAATACGTTAACGATCATAACTAGTGATCATACAGTATCAACATTAAACGTATCAATAACTTGGATGCACAACATCATCATAGTATTAGCAGTATCAGAAAAACTATTCATATATCTTAACCAAACTATACAACTTACTATAATATCAATAGCAATAGTAACAACTATATCTATAATAGCAAATACTATTATACGAGCAAAAGAAGTAACTGCATTAGTAAATCATCAGAAGAAACTGAATGAATTGCCCAAATAATATCGAAAAACTCAAGAAACTTATAGTAAAAACAACAGAATATAAAGGGATAGTAATTAAAACATTAGAAGAAAAATCAAAAGTAGTTAAAGAAGAAAAGGTAACTCCAAGACAAATTAAAATAAGAACAGAAGTATCACCAGTACTTAAACAAAGCCTTAAACTAACAGAAAATCAAGCAACAGACCTATATGTATATCTAGAATTAAAAAAGAAATTCAACTAAGGAACCTTACCTATAAATAAATTACCATACTTAGCAACTAAAGCAAAACAATACAGTGAACCGCAAGAGTTCATAGAAAAAATATTAGATAAAGCACCATACTTATCTAAAAAATAATTAATAAGCTACGGAGAAATTGGAAACGAAACGTACATAAGAGTTTTTCAAGAATATTTTAACAAATATCCAAATCCACCATCAGACGAACATAAAATAAAACTTCAAGAAAAACTTAAAGAATTTGATCAACGAATTAAAGAATTCATAGAAGGAAATTTAATAACAAAAAAGAACCCCATACAAGAAACAAAACGAGTCTATAATTACAAGAAAAAAGAATATAGAGAACAAGTCTTCAACTATATTGAAGAAGAAGAAATAAATCCAGAAGACCTAACTGACGAAGAAATAACAACATATTTAGTATACTCACTAGTAATAGCAGATAGATCAAGAGTCAAAACAAGCTTAGAAACTATTTCAAGAAAATCATTCAATGTTAAAAATTGGTTAAAACATACTCAGTATATTTATCAAGAACAATTATCAACCATAATATTTGAATAATGGCAGCAATAACAGAATTTGAACCACCAAAAAACCTAGAGAGGTTAACATCCTTAATATCAGAATATGATGGATCAATTGAAAAATATAGAGATTGGAGAAATCAATTAGAAAATGCATTTAAAGCATTAAGATTAGGAGACTTAATTATATTTGGAAGATACTCAGGAACACCCAAAAGAGGATATACACTGAGAGGAAGAGATTATAACTCAACAGGAAATAATGCGAGTGAATGCAGATGGAGTACAGAAATAATGCAAAAGTATTTGCAATAATTATAACAAAATTAAGAAAGGATGCATTAGAAGTATTTGATACAGAAATAGCAACTATAAACTTTTATTTTAGATCCAACCTAGATAATGCAAATGATTTAAAAGATGCAGAAAACTATCCAATAAAAGTAATAAATTATTTACAGGCAGCAGGAGCATGGCATGCCTCTGCAACAGCAGAAGGAACAAGGATAAACCCAAATGTTACGGATGCGACAGCACAAAAAGGATTTAGAGACGTATTTGATGAAAACTTCACAAGAGACTCAGTACAATCATTAAACCAAAAAGAATTTCTTAAATTTAATTTCTACAAGAATTTAAACTAGAGCGATGACTCAGGATTAAGAAAGCAAATTAATCAGTATAAAAAACTCAGACAACTGTCAAACTGGCAATGGGCTCCAAACTTCTTTGGAGGAAACTACATGTATTTAGTAGAAAGAATGCCTTAAAACATAGCTCAACAAATTACATTAACAAACCCAATACTGAATAATGAAGAAGATTTCTTCAGAAGAGCTGATACTCTATTTAGAGCAACAAGAGTAACAATGGATATAATGGAAAAATCTAAAAATGAAAAAACAAACCATTATTTCCAAAAAAACCAAAGAATAAATAATGTACAAACAGAACAACCTCAAAAAGGAAAGGAAAAGAAGCATATAACAGAGTACAATCAACTTATAAAAACTACAACAGAAGACAAAAGAAAATCTTTATCAGAAAATATTGTTCATATTGTGGAAAAGATAATGAATATCACACCAAAACATGTCCAAACAATAATGCCAATTATTATGAAGGAAAAAGAGCAAGAGGACCAACACCTATGGTTCATAAATATAACAACTTCAAGAACAATAAAGGAAAAGTAAGACCTCGATACAATAACAACAATAGAAACAATAGTGGAAGAAGACCACAAAACAATACAAGAAAATCTTTCACAAGAAAAAGAGTTAACAACTACAAAGAAGAAAAACAATCAGAAAAAATATACAACTCTAAAAGAAAAGAAAGAAACGACTACAAATCTAAAGAAAGAAGCTCATACAAAAGAAATGACAAAAGAAAAGTAAACCATTACAATGAAGAAAATGAAGAAGAGTATAATAGTGATGAAGAAATAGTTCATCATATCAAAGTTAAAGAAAACCTTGACAAAATACAGTATTTCAACTAGAGAACCTGTGTAGTACTCAGGACAAAATCCCAAAGAGAATAGGCCAAAGTAGCAAACTACTTAGTACTAAAGAATATTATAATACTATAACATTTAAAGAAAGTTTATATAATATACAATGTATTAATAATGAAATAAATAAAAGATCGCAAAACGATCAATATAACAAATATTCTGCCAAACTATTATCAAGTGAAATATATCAACAAGCTCAAGAAAACCCAGAATACTCTTATTTATTAAAACAATACTACTTTCCAAAAGAAGCACATAAAGCTCAAGAATTTCCTAAAGGCAAAAAATCATATGAATTTATAGCATTAATAAACATCAAACCAATTAAAGTACTAATAGACGAAGAAACAAGTGCAAGTGTAATACCATATAATATAGCAAAAGAATGGAATCTATTAGACAAACTTAATAGAAAACAAACTAGAACTGCAAGAGTTCCAGGAGGAATGAATGTAACAAACTATGGTAAAGTAAAAGTTAAACTCCAAATAGAAGACCTAATATTTTATATCAAAGTATCAGTAATAGAAGGAGAACAAGCATATATACTTTTAGCAGAAGTAGATCAAGCACGAATGGGAATAAAGAAAAATAGAGAAACTCAAATCATAACAATCAGAGATATACTGATAACATACCAAAACATAACAACAAATATGCAAAAAGCGAACCTATCACACCGGTTTTACAACAGGAACTCAGATTGCACCTTGAACCTTACGATAGAAAAGGAGAGATCTCATGGTCAGCACACAAATTCTGATAAAATTACCCAACTTGATACCGCAAATCAGCCAAAAATACATTTAACAAAGAGCAAATCATGTGCAACTAGTTACCTTGCTCGAAAAACTAGTGACCCAGACAAAAGCAAAAAAAACCTGCCATTGGCACCCAACGTAGTAAAAAATAAACTTACCACTTATACCCTTAACAAAACAAGTCAAACCCTAACAACCAATTACACGTCAATAACAATATGATATCGGGAAAAGTGTTGAGCCTAATATAGTAACTAACAATGTTACCCTGCAATCTAAAAATGAACCATTTTAAGTTCTGTACAAAAAAGCAATAATAACACTTTAAAGAAGAAGAAAGCAAAACCACCTTTAAAAAGAAAACTTAAACAAGAGTTTTCAAAAGAAAATATAAAACAAAATGAGTTAACTAAGAAATGGGTAGATAAACAATATACCCAAAAATATGTAAGAAATTTATAACACATCTCTTACTAGAGTCATTCTCTAAACAAGTTAAAAAGCTTAGAGAACTTGTTAAAGAAAACGAAAATAGAGTCAAATTAATTGGAGTAACAACTGACGCTCGTTGGGATGAGATAGTAAAAACTACTATCATAACCCAATCTAACATAGTACAAATATTCTTAAAATATTTAGATTCAGTAAAAGAAGGAACACCTGATGAACAGAAAGATATGAACATAATAGAAGGAAATAAAAATATTAATTTAAAAATGGTTTTACACTATAACATGGAATTATATGTAAACGACAAGCTATTTACATATTATAACGAAAGTAAACAGGTAAACTGGAAAATAATAAGGATAATTCAAGAATTAAAACGCGCTGATAAAATGAATATACGATGGAGTGTACTACACCTAGAGACAAAAACTGATCGCGATCAAGAAGATATAATAGGAAATATCAATTATATATTAAGAAAAATAGTTGAAAACAATCTAAGGATTGGACTATTATTGGAAAATAGCGCAAGTACCAAATGCTATGAATCAACAATGGCTGACCTCATAGATATCCTAAATAGTATAGATTAAAGATTACGGTATAAAGATAAAAATAAAGAAAAAAGAAGAATAGCAATGTGCTTCGACACACAACACTTCTATGCAGCAGGAAATAGAAAACATGTAAATGAATACAAAAATGTACTTTACATATATAGAAAAGAAATACAATTAGTACATATAAATAACAATCCCAAGGAAGCGATATTTGGAATAGGAATGGACAAGCATGTACATATACTAGATCCAAACGCAATGATTACACAAGATGTATTTCAGATAATAGCAAAGCACAACGAGGTCTGTGCTATAGTACTAGAAACACCAAACATAGAATTATCAGATCAAATTGCACAAATACATGAAGTAATGAAATTACAAGAATATGCAAATGACATTATAACAGATCTTAGGATTTCAATTTGAAGGCCCAGACGTATCTGACTTAGCAGATAGATTAGCAAGAACAATCTTTATGGCAAATAATGAACAACCTGCAAATAAAGGACAAAATAATAAACACTTAAATCAAATATATAGAGAAGTAGAAGAAATCTTAAATAAGATACTACCTTCAAAGAAAGGAAAAAAGAAGGAAGATGAACTTCCTAAAGATCAACCACGAAAAATGGGACAAATTATTAAACAAAAATTAAATAGATTAGACAAAGCTATACTTGATGAGAAATAGCCAAAGCCACAAAAATTGAACAAACAATCCAAGATCTCAATTGGAGATTAGAACAAATAAATAAAACCTACAGTTATACTCAAGGCTTAACTGAAGAAGAAATAGAAGAATATCTTGAATCAATACAAAAAGTAACAAAAATTAAAGATACTGACAAACCTGCAGAAACAAGAAGGGAATACTTATATGAAGTATTGTCAACATTAAACGAAACAAATGATGCAACAGTATGAAAACATCGAAAAGATATAAAAGATCTTCAAGAAGAATATAGTAGAGATATTCACAGAATATTAGATATAACTGCTGAAGAATTTAATGATATGGGACTTATTAAACAACAAGCAGCAGTAACTGCGTTAATAATAGCACAAGCACACTGCAAAGATGAACCTACAAAACAAGCATTATATGAAAAACACAAAGAATTTTTAGAATCTCAATTAGAAAAAGTGGAAGAAATGCATGATGACAAAGAAATTCAAGGAAGAATTTACAGAGATGTCATCAAGGCAAGAAAAAAGGAAAAACCACAAATACTACTACCCAATCCAAAAGGAAAAAGTACCTAGAGATAAAGAATTTGTTAAAGAAAATAAACAAATTGGAATAAGAATACCACACTCGCCGCCTACAGACGACGTATTCTTAAATGAAAGGCTATTACAAGCCTCTAGAAGGAATGATGATATTCCTCAAGGAGTATTACCAAAAGTAACAAAATTCTTCGAAGACATAGTACAAGGAATTAAAAATAAATTCACATCTAGACCAACAACACCTTCACCATTGAGTCAACATACTTTAAGTAGAACACCTACACCTACTATTGAAATTAGTACCAATACACCTAATCGAAAAAGAAATGAAAGAGGTTATACACCATCACCAGATCCTTATGAGAGAAAACAACAAAGATATAAAAGTCCAAGTCTTAGCTCAAAACATACAGACCAAATTTCTAATAAAGAAATAGAAATACCATATTATAATAATGTACACAATGAGGGACAATCCTCAACTTATAGACCAGTACATGGTACCTTTAGAGGACAGACATATACTACATATGTACCTGAAACAGTATATCAAGAATTAAAAGACTTTAAAGAAGAAGAGTTAGATGAATTAGAAGCAGAATTATAAGCAGATCTAGAAGAACGTCGCAATGAAAAATTTGAACAGGAAGTTGAAAATCAACTTAAAGAAAACAAAGAAGGATATAGAATAAAGAATATAATCACATTTTATTAAATAACCTAACTATACAACAAAAAAGAAAAATAGTACTCACTATTATTAAACCTGAGAAAGAAAAGATATTCAGTAACAAAAAAACAATCATACCTCACATGACACTAATGAGTATTAAAATATTAAATTCCCAAGAAAACAGAATAGTAGGGACCCCTATACAATTAGCAGCCAAAGGGTTAGCTATACAACAAGGACGACCTAATAGAAACTACATTTTAGCAATGAATATTGGTGATAAAGATATTTAAATAAAACAAGGTAAACATATTAGAAATATAGAACAAACAGATGAAAAAGAAACAATCAGATATGATCTCGAATTTTTTTCTTCAAAAAAATTAGGAGAAACTGAAAAAGAACGAATAAAAATATTACAAGAAAGATGTGGAAATAAAGTGTGGAAAATACTTGGAGATGTATTAACAGAATAAATAGATGAATTTAGAGAAAAACAGGAAATGGAAACTTCTATAAATAATAACGTCATCTCTGATATTCAATTTATATTGAATAAAAAAGAACACGAAATTCCTGATAATGATAAAAATCAAGGAATAAGAAAATATACTATAGAAAAAGAAAGAATTATTAAAGAATTATGTGAAGATTTAGAAAAAAATGATGTTATATATCCTGGATATAGCAAATGGGCAAGTAATGTGCAAATAATAACCAAAAAAGATGGAAGAAAAGCTATAGTAATAGACTATAGAAGATTAAATAAACATCTAGTAAAATTTAAACAACTATTACCAAATATAATGCAATTCCTACAAGACATTAGTAGATATAAATACTATACGACGATGAATTTAAAATCGGCATATTGGCAACTGAATGTATACCCAAAATCACAAAAATACACAGCAAGTAGATTTGGAAGATTTGAAATATACCTTTGGAAAAGGTTACTATTTGGAATAACAACTGCACCAGCATATTTAATAGCAGAATTAAATAATTTATTCAAACAATTTGATTGGTTAAAAATATATATGGTTTGATATGACTATAGTAGCGAATTCACCAGAGGAAATGAAAAAAAGACTAAAGTGGACTTTAGCGATCCTCAAAAAAGCAGGGCTGAAACTTAAGCTATCTAAATGTGAATTCTTAGTTGATGAAACTACTATACTCAATTGCAAAATTCGATACAAAGAAATATGAAAAAATGCTAACAAAGAAGCATTAATCGATAGCAAAGCTATACTATCCAATAAAACTGAAGTATAAGCCTTCATAGGATTCATGAATTACTTCTGACCATACATATTAAACTTTGCCGATATAGCAGCACCATTATATGAATTAACCAGGAATACCATATTTAAATGGATAAATGAATGTCAAACATCATTCGATAATCTTAAAAAAGAAGTTAAATGAAATATATATCTTTTATATCCAGATCCAAACAAACCTTTCTTTATGGAATGTGATGCCTCACAAACAGGCATAGGAGCAATATTATACCAAAAAAATGAAGAGCGAGAACATTATAAACAAACTGAAAAACGACTTAAAGAAGGACTTCTAAAAGAAGAACTCAAAAAAGATTATGATAATCCACCGGCTTCAAATAGACGGATCATAGAATTAGGATCAAGAGGCTTAAGTCAGGCACAACAGAATTGGCCTGCAACACAAAGAGAAATGTATACAATATACATATTCTTAAAACAATGGCGACATTACATTGGCAATCAGGAAATACATATTTACACTAATGCAACTGGAATATCTGCAACAAAGAAAACAACTGTTACAAGCAGAACAATTGAAAATTGGATAATGAATTTACAAGAATTCAATTATATCATATATAGAATACCAGGAGCCAAAAATAAAGCAGCAGATTTATTATCAAGAATAGTGAATAATAAAGAAAATAAATCTTTAAAAGATTTGATAAACATTACAATAGAAGAAGAAAATTAATCAGATTAGAGATAAAAATCAGAATCATCTTGATCATAAGAATAACCTAAACAATCGCAAACATAGTGATTACAAAAAGAGCAATTATAGTAAGATAAACATTTTCCAGTCAAAAGAGAAATATAAGTACCATCAAGATGCATATTATCACTTTCAGAATCATTAATACGAGAACTACCAACAGTAGAAGAGTCAACGTTGTTAAAAAGCAACTCTGCATTATTATTGATATAATCCTTAAAGTAAAAGAATTGAAAAAGATTAGAACTATTCTAACATGCATAAAAAACTTCTTCACATTTAGTAATGAGATCTACAAAAGATAAGTAATTAAAATTCATCCAACATACAACCACAGCAAGTTAGAAGAATATTATCTAACTTACTCCGGTTGGATGATAAACCAATAATAAAACCCTTACCATTATCCCTGGTAAAAACAGGATCAAAAATCCATACCTCAAGAAGTGAAGAATCCAAAGAGGAATCAGAAATGATATAAACATCTTGACCATCATCAGACTTAGTAATCTGACCAAAAGGAGGCTTAGTTACAAGAAACTCAGGATCTTCATCCTCATTACAACCGTTAGCTTCAAACTTGAGAAGATAATCATTGATAAGAGACCTTAAAGAAATAGATTCACTGAAATGACAATAATGATCAACAACATCTTGAAAAGAACGATCCTTAAAAGAAGTATTCCAGTAGATACGCCAATCAAATATAGAAACATCTTTATCTCGCCAAAGTCAAAGTTCTGAGTAATAATACTCTCCATAAAGGATTTTATACGCTGATGAGTATTCATACCATTCTTCTCTCCAGCAAAAGTAGTATCGTGAAGATACTTAGCAAAAGGATAAGAAATATAAACTATACAACCATTAAGTTCAATGCGAAAATGGTGATAATCCTCAAAATCAAGAGGAGAAAAGATATCAGAACTAGTCAAAGTAAAAGCCATAATACTTGAAAAGGAAAACAAAGAAAAGGAGTAATTGGATAACTAGAATAATTGCTGAATAAAGATATATTAAAGAAAACAAGTATATAAAAATAATTAAAATGAACATTGAAAGAAATGCTTGAAAAATCACCGGATTTATAGAAAAGAATTCTGAAAATAAATCAGAAAGAAACAAGAAATGAAAAATAAAGGAATCCTGACAAGATACGAAATCAAGAAAATCTTGGAAAATGAATCCAAATGTATCCTGTATTTGCAAGCAAACAGAATCATTAATCGAGAATTAGAATGTCCAAAGTGTGAAAAACAAATGAAACAAGATAATGCCAAAATATTTATTTGCGGCAACTGAAAATGTAGAAAGTCACAATCAATATTTACAAACTCATGGTTTGAAAAAGATAAGATATGGGTCAATGAGATATTGGAAATATATTATTATTGGTTATTAAAGATGCCAAGTATTTCTATTGCAATAACCATGGGAAAAGATTCAAGTACAATCAGTTACCATTTAAGTAATATCAGAAATCTAATAGGATTCTACGTACAGGAACATAAACAAAAGATAGGAGGAAAAAATATCATTGTAGAGATAGATGAAACCAAAATGTGAAGAAACAAATATCACCACGGAAAACCTATTATTGATGTATGGGTATTCGCAGAAGTAGAAAGGACACCTGATAGAAAAATATTTGTGACAATAATACCAGATAAAACTGAAGATACCTTATTAGAATTAATTAAAGATAACATTGAACAAGGATCAATTATTTATTCAGACTGCTTTAGATCGTACAAAAACATTTACGATAAGCTTAACTTTGAGCATATGACAGTAAATTATTTCGAATACTTTGTAGATCCAGATACTGGAGTTCACACAAATACTGTTGAAGAAATGTGGAATGGAATAAATATCAGAATACCTGCCAGAAATAGAACTAAAGATAAGATACAATCATATCTGCTAGAATTTATTTGGAAACGCCAAAACAATGATGATTTATGGGAAAACATGTTACAATATTTACAAAATGAATTATTGATTGAAGACAAGGAAATTATAAACAAAGATAAGCCTGAAACATGTATTAAAACTGATATGGAAATCTGACACACACCCAATGATAAATAAATACAAACAAAAATAAGAATAACAATTCGTAACCCTGAAAGTATAAAAGAACCCTGAAAATAAGTCACCAGAAACCTCACCATCATATGGCTCATCAAGAAAATCAAGAAGTACAAAATACTAAACTCTGGATACAAGTAATAATAATCGACATACGAAATCTTCTCACAGGAAAAGAATATGACGATCAACAAATCCTACAAGTATTCTTGAAACAAGAACTTGTTACCTCAACAAAGGAACAAAGAGAAACTATCTCAATAACTGAAAACAAAAAAGAAACGCTAATTGAAAAAATTACAGAATTAGCAGAAGAATTATACTTAGACATTAACCTAAATACCACATATCTTGGAATCGTTAACCAAATTAAAGAAGTAAAAAGCAGTCAAGATCTCTTTGAAATCAAAGAAGTACAAGAGTCAATAATTAACAAGAAACTATAACATACATACGAGTATATATGAAATATATAATTGGCAAAGGAAAACACAATTTGAATTACAGATTGAAGAACTCGAAGAAGTATTACAGTACAAATTTGAACAAAAAACAAACCTAATTCATACCCTGAATTAACTAACTAGTTGATATCAATACTCAAGTATTGGAAAGAATATTTAGGACCAAACAAACAACAAAGAAAAGAATTAGAAACTTTC